CGGGGTCGTTGCCGCTAATCGCTGCGTATTATGTACCTAACTGCTACAATTCGTTCATCTATTTTGATTCTGCTCCCAGGGATTTGGTGTAATTTCAGTTCTTTTCTGGGTGCTTGAGTTCCACTATTACTGTTAGATCTGGGGTCTATTTTGTATAAAAAAAGAATTTACGAGATCTAGTAAATAAGAATTACACATAACCGTCAGACAATTTTTTTTACCCAACCTTCTTATACGGTGGTTATTTAACGTTCGAGATGCCCTTGGACGAGGGACATCCCGGCGCCGCGTCGTAGAAGTGTTCATACTTTCTCCCTTCCACAATGTAGTGTTTATAGATTTTTTTTAAAGTCAAACTTTGCCAATTTTAACCAAGGTAAATTCTAAAAACGTAACTCATGATGTATCCAGTAATGTGCATTTGATATTCTAGATGTATCTATTTTTTTCTATAAATATGGTTAAAGTTTGTAATATTTGACTTTTGGAAAAATTTATAGTCTGTGGAACGAAAGGAGTACGTATTTATGTCGAGTAAATTAACTGGAGGTTTGGTTTGACTTTGTCTCTGGCTAGCACGTGATGCCGGTCGGTCACATGGCGGAGAGCCCCTTGCTGCGTCACCCAATCGAACGGCTCAGGCTGGGTTCGCGGCGTACGACGCAGCAACATTGACCGTTGGTGCCATGCACATTTCCCATTGATTAGGCGATGCCCGGTGGCGTGTCGAGCGAAGACGATTCCAAAGCAGGTGGGAGCAGTACTCGACTACTCGCTCAGCCCTGGCTGGCTGGCACAGAGCGGTACGAGCGAACGCGGCCAAAGCCATGAGTCGCCCACCCGGTCGGTCGGTGGCTCCAAAGCGGTTGCCGACTAGACTAGTACTGCCGTCGCGTGTATAAAACGGGCCTGCCAGTGCCCCTGCCTGCACAAGCCACTACGACAGCGACCCAAACCCAAACAGGCACGAGGAATAGTCAGCCAGTCGAGCGAGCGATCAAGTCATGGTGGCCGACCACCAGTCCTCCTCCCCCGCCTCCCCGCGGCCGCGGTTCACCATCGGCTACGCGCTGCCGCCCGGCAAGGCGGGCAGCGTCATCCAGCCGCCCCTGGAGGCCCTCGCGGCGGAGCGCGGCATGCGCCTCGTCGCTGTCGACGCCTCGCTCCCGCTGGCCGACCAGGGCCCCTTCGACCTCATCATCCACAAGCTCTTCGACCGGCCCTGGCGCGCGCAGCTGGAGGCCTTCTCCGCGCTCCACCCCTCCGTCCCCGTCGTCGACGCCCCCGCCGCCGTCGACCGCCTGCTCGACCGCTTCACCATGCTCGACGTCGTCCCCGGGCTCGCCGCCGGCCTGGACTTCCCGCTGTCCGTCCCCGCGCAGGTCACCGTGAGCGACGCCGCCGCGCTCGCCGCGGACGACCCCTCCCACGGCCTCCGCTTCCCGCTCATCGCCAAGCCGCTGGCCGTCGACGGCAGCGCGGGGTCCCACGACCTGTGCCTCGTGTACCGCGCCGAGGGCCTCCGGGGCCTCCACACGCCCGTCGTCCTCCAGGAGTTCGTCAACCACGGCGGCGTGCTCTTCAAGGTCTACGTGGTGGGCGGCCGCGCCGTGTGCGTCCGGCGCAGCAGCCTGCCGGACGTGCCCGCGGCGCGCCTCGCGGACCCCGACGCCGACGCCTCCGTCCCCTTCGCCAACATCTCCAGCCGCCCCGCGCTGGACAAGGGGGAGGACTCGATGCCGCCCGCCGCGTTCGTCGACCAGGTCGCGCGCGGGCTCCGCCAAGCGCTGGGGTTGCACCTCCTCAACTTCGACATGTTCGCGGCGACGGAACTGGACGACGGCGGCCGGCAGAGATACTTCCTTGTCGACATCAACTACTTCCCGGGGTTCGCCAAGATGCCGGGCTATGAGACTGCTCTCACGGATTTCTTCGCCGAGATGATTCAGGTCGGCACAGGCGCCGCCAGCTTCGAGAAGCTCGAATCTGTGCCCTGCAATGGCATAGATCTCGAGTGAAGTGAACGAGGTGTGCCCGAAGACCCCGTACTGCCGATAATAAAAATTAAGAAAATGCTGCACACTTCGCCGCGTATAAGATATATGTAATAGTACTGTCAAGGAACTGATTAAGACATCGATGATTGATGCTACTATCTATGAAGGTTTCAAATCTAAGGTACTTCAAGTGCAACGAATATTCCACCTCGCAGGAAAAGAAGAATATTCCTCCGGATTTGCCATTTCTCCGAGAAATAGTTAAATCTTAATCGACTCGATAACCGATGGATTAACGCGAGCCAAAGATTCCTGCTGCTATCGGGAGTTCTGCTTCTCTTGTTTTTAGCGGCTGTGTGACGGCGAGCGGTATGGTGCGACGTGCGAGGACATCCCAGGTTCTTCGTCTGGCATTTGTACGTAGTAGGAGGCTGGCTGAGCTTTCTGTGTGGTAGGCCATTGTATCCATTTCTTTGTCACTCTTTTTGCGAGGGCATTTCGTTGTCACTTTAGTTATAGACAAGTCAACTGAATTTTGAATTTGAGCCAGTCGATTTTTTTGTTTAGAATAAAAAACACTCTATTAGCTTAGAATGTTCTCATGAATATAAACAACATCAGGTCTATCGATTAGCTACACATGCCGGCCACGAGCTAGAGTAGTCCCCGCCTCTCCCGGTGAATGATCTTCAACTTTCATGCATCCCACCCGCTGACCTTGACCCTACCACGCTTGGCGATCCCATTTCGGAAGAGGAAGTCAGAGCTGCTGTCTTTTCTCTTCCTTCCGACAAAGCGCAAGGCCCGGACGGATTCACCAAAAAATTCTTCAAAAATTGCTGGAATATTATTAAGGATGATATCATGCTAGTGATCAGCAGCTTCTCCAACCTAAATGCTGGAAATCTGCACTGGTTCAATTCGGCGAATATTGCCCTCATTCCCAAGAAGGATGGTGCCGAGCACATCTCTGACTTCAGACCCATTAGCCTGATTCATGCCATGGCCAAGCTCATTGCCAAAATTCTTGCCACTAGACTGGTCCCTCATATGAATTCCATTGTCTCCACTGCGAAAGTGCCTTCATAAAGAAAAGCATTCATGACAACTTTATGTATGTCCGGAATCTGTCCAGAAAATTTCACTGCACAAAGAAACCTATGCTTCTATTCAAATTAGACATCAAGAAGGCTTTCGACTCGGTTAGATGGGACTACCTGCTGGAGCTGCTAAATCATCATGGCTTTCCTACCCGCTTTCGTGACCGGGTCTCGGCACTTCTTTCCTCCGCGTTCTCGAGAGTGTTGCTAAATGGTATTGCTGGTGACCCAATCAAGCACGGTCAGGGTCTCAGGCAGGGGGATCCGCTTTCACCGCTCCTTTTCGTGCTTGCCATAGACCCTTACATCATATTCTCAGCAAAGCCACAATCCAAGGAAAGCTACATCCCTTGCCCAGGAGCCAATCGGGGAGAACCCAGGAGCACAAATCAGCATTGACGCTGGCCTCACTCTAGAACACCTTCAACAATTCTTGGCCCTTTGGGAGAAGCTAGCGACTATGGCCATTCAGCCGGGTGTCCAGGACTCTATAGTGTGGAAGTCAACCAATTATGGGCAGTACTCTGCAAAGTTTGCTTACTTGGCGCACTTTCATGACCTCCCGCTCTCAAGTTTGGCTGCTACTGTTTGGAAGGCGTGGGCACCCCCCAAATGCAAATTTTTTGCGTGGCTTGTTATCCAAAACAAAGTTTGGACGGCTGATAAGCTTCAGAGGAGAGGATGGCCAAATTGTGACAAATGCCCACTCTGTAGTCAGGTGCAAGAATCTGCAGCACACCTGATCTTCAATTGTCGTTTCTCTGTCCGGATTTTGAATGTGGTGTTCTCATGGCTTGGGCTTGTTATCCCCACGGCCCGTGGCTCCTGTTCAATTCGGTGAAATCTTGGTGGGACGCGGTCCTCTCTGATAACACACTCCCGACGAAGGCCCTGTCTTCCCTGTTACTACTTGTGTGATGGGAGATCTGGAATGAAAGGAATGCTCGTGTCTTCAGGAGCAAAGCGGCACCGGTGGCGACTGTCATGCGACACATCAAAGAGGAAGTTTCTATTTGGGCCACTGCAGGCACTAAGCATTTGCGTAATGTAATGCCACGAGAGTAATTGTTTTGTTTTTCCGTCGCTTGGCGATGTCTGTTTTGAAATCTATTCTTATTAAATGAAAATGGCAAGTCTTTTGCCTTGTTTCAAAAAAAAACTTTCATGCATCTGTTTTCATGGTCCACTTCCCCTGATGCAAACAATTGGGTGCACCTTTTTATCTCATGAATAGTAGCAGCCAAGGTCCCCAAATAAGCCTCCTTGATGTGTTTCACTGTGGCAGAACAGTCAGTGGCAATAACAATGTTGTTGCATGCAAGGTCAAGTGCTAGTGACATCCCTTCACTCGTAGCCATTGCCTCAAGCACTTCTGGATTAGTTATGTCCTGGACAGAAACTGCAGATGCACCTAGAACTGTACCATCTCGGCAAACAACAGCAAAGGATCCACCATCCTCATGACACCCTCGTAAATTCATTCTTTTTTACGAAATAAACCCCAGATCTCACAATAACAGTGGTACACAAGCACCCAGAAAGAACTGAAATTACACCCAAATCCCATGGGAGCCGGCCCAACACAACCACCGACACAAGCTCCTTCAATTATGGAAAGATGGCCTTCCCACAATATTTTTACAGGATATCCTAAGTTCTTCAAAAATCACTTCTGGGACTTTTTTTACAGAGATTGAGAAAAGAGCTCACATGAGAAACTCCTCTAAATAATAACCAGACTTTACGATGAATTTTGTACCTGCGCTCTTGGAGTTGCTCCATCTTCAACCATACATGTCAAATTTGGAATCCAATGAACGAGTGTGAGACAGCCCCGGCCGGCTGTCCACATCTGTAGCCCTCAGTCTCTCTACTCCTATAAAAGACTCAGTTGGTGATAATGCATGGTGTGTCTGCCATTCGTCATTTCTGACCATTAGATCTGCATCTAATGGTTGTGAGGTAAGTTGTGGCATTTTTGCAATAATAGCCCACTTCTTTGCTTCAATTTGCAGAAAACCCCTTATTATCTTGAAAGCAACCACATCCCTCCCTCACCTCATCAAAACATCCTGAGAAATATATTTGAGTGAAACGTATAGTGGTATATGTATATCAAAACAAGAGTGTTTTCTTTCAAGTTTGTGAATAAGTACTATTCTACTTTGGATCTGTTGCAATGCACGGGCACATTGCTAGTCATGTCTAAAACCTCAAACTCATACACAAGCATGCACATTGATCAACACACACACTTTGGCTTTTAGGACATAATAGAACTTACTACCTCCGTCCTGGTTTATTAGTCCTCCTTGTAGTTTGGGCCAAATTTTGACCTTTTATTTAACTATACAAAATTTAAGTTATATACCCTAAAAAATAGTATAATTGGAAACCTCTTTTAAATATGCATCTGGCAATATAAGTTTTGTGACATACAACTTATAATTTGTTAGTCAAATTTATGGTCAAAATTGGGCACAAAATACAAAGGGAACTAATAAACCCGGACGGAGGTAGTACTGACATTGCATGTGGGAGTTCATACACCATGAGACAATCAAAATCACGACATGTTCTCTAAATTGAATTAATTCTATATGGATAGGCCAATTTCGTCATCGCCCACTACTAGGGAAAAACCTATACACAGAAAGTTACTAGTAGCGAGGTTTAAAAACCCTCGCTACTGCTACTTACCAGTAGCGCAGGTTTTTAAATCTCGCTACTACTAAGTTGATAGCAGTAGCGCGGGTTTTTAAACCTCGCTACTACTAAGTTGATAGCAGTAGCGTGGGTTTTTAACCCTCGCTACTACTAAGCGGTCTCTACGGTGCCCCCTGGGACATGCCAAAGTAGTAGCGCTGGTTTTTAAAACCTCGCTACTACTAAGTTTAATAGCAGTAGCATTGATTTTTAGCCCTCGCTACTACTAAGTGGTGCCATAGTAGTAGCGAGGGGGTAAAAAACCGCGCTACTACTAAAGGTCCCATTTTCAAACTCTACCCCCCGGATCGCCTTTTCAGTTTTAAAAAAAATAAAATAAAATGATGAAAATGTCAAAAAAATAAAAGAAAATAAGTTTCATATGTGATATGTGGTCTAGTTGTTGGGAAAATTTGCAAATATGAATTTCGACTTTATTTGCAAAATCTCTCGAGAATTTGTAAAAATGGGCATAACTTTTGCATACTAACTCGGATGAAAAAGTTTTTTATATGAAAAATCATCTACTCGAAAAGTTACATCCAAATTTAACTAGGGAACCCCATTAAACATTTTCAAAATCCTCAAAAACCTAACAGAAAAAAAGTTACGGGGCTTTTATGATCTAGAGTGGAAAAAATCGAAAAAATTTCAAACTGTGGTCAAACAATGGTCAAACTAATTATTCTAGAATATTAGTGTTACTAAATAATTATTTTAGTTTTTTTGAATTTTGGTCAAATCTGGTCAAACTATGGCCAAACTGTGGTCAAACTAATTATTCAAGAAATATTAGAGTTACTAATTTTTTAGAACAATAGTTTCAAACTCAAATAGTGAAATGTGTGACTTCATGCTCAAGCTAAATTCCTGAGGTTAATAGGATTGACATCTTACTATTGTCAGAAAAACAACAAGTGCAGACTTGGAAACGAGGGAGAATAGAACCCGGAAGTTAAGCGTGCTCAGGCTGGAGCAATTAGAGGATGGGTGACCGTCCGGGAAGTTAGATGATTTGGAATGATGAGGGGTGATTAGAGATTAAATTGAGCAGCGATGAGGGGTGATTAGAGATTTGAGGTTAAAATAATTCAGAAATTTGAAAATTAGGGAAAAAATCGAAATGTTTTTTTGAAAAAATTCAAAAAAAACCTGCGCTGGTAGTAGTAGCGTGGGTTTTTACCCATGCTACTACTAAAGGACGTAGTAGTAGCG